CTTACTCCCTGGAATGATTTCTATAGCGTGGACAACTTCCCTATCAACAACTCCTGTGGGCTCCTCGAACAGATCAGGGAACTTAGCAACGACGCGTTCTATCTCTGGGGGTGTTTTAACGGCCTCCCCCTTCTCAGAGACATAAACAAGGTACATACCCTCCTCTTGGTTTTGCTTATAGTACTTGTAGAACGCGGATGCGCACAAGCAGCCATAGGTATCTATAATACTACTGGCCTTAAACTTAGTCAATCTGACAGTTCGACCATCGGGCAACTTGTGTTTGAGCACCTTCTTATCCCAGTCGAACTGGGGCTTAGCAACTTCGAGGTAGTACATGCCTAACAGCATAGGAGAAGGTACAGACTATGTCCTTGATGTAGTCTGTCACTATCATGCACTCCTTGTTGGCCAAAGTAGATGCTACTGGTCTACTAAGGTGTCGTACCCGGTCCTGTAGGTGCAGCCTTGCCAAACAGTCGCGACTTATGTAATTCCGCGTGGAGCCTATGTCTATGAAGGCACCACATTTGCGGCCTCCTACAACGACCTCCACCACGAAATGTTCCCCTCTAGGACCTTTCCTCAGCGCCACCCAAGACTCGCGAGGGTCCTTGTTTGACCACTCACTCTCCAAGTCCTCTAAGGTTTCAGACACATCTAACGTACAGAGCATAGTTTGGTCTAGTTGTGTCTGCGGGGTGACTAAGGGGTCATTAGCCTTGGCCTTGTCATGAAGTGGGGAGGGTATCAATCCCACTTCATCTTTAGTCGAAGCTGCTAATACTTCCACTACACGTTTCCCGAGCTAGAAGCCTGGGAGTAGGTTGCCCCCATCTTTGGAGCTACCTTCTGCGTAACCTTAGCGTTCTGGCACTTGTATTGCGAGTGTTCGTACTCCCCGCAGTTGATACAAGCACCATGCGTTCGGCGGTCACGCCACACGTCTTGTTGAAGACCTGCCTTTACCCACTCAGCCTGCTTGGTCTGATTGGAGGCGGCCTTCCCTTGACCCCTAGGCTGGCCCTTTCCTCGGCCTGCCGCCTTAGTCTTAACTACCGCGGCGAGGGTGCTACCCTCAGCTACCTCCTCGCCGTCAAACTCTATATAGTCCATCAGGTCGGTGAGCTCGTCGATCTCAGTTTGAGTCCCATCAGACTCCACCATCATCAACTTCGCCCCCTTCTTCTTCCACTCCTGAGGACTCTTCTTCTTCTTTGAGTCATTCCCTGAGGTGGGTTGAGCATTGCCTAGCGTGGCCTCTAAGTCTAAGGCTTTCCTAGACAATGTCTCAAACGAGTGGTACTCGGTGCGTGCCTCACTGGCCAGCAAGTTCCTGATGTTCTCTGGCAAACATCTAACAAACGTTGTTAACAGGAACTGGTCACTGTAGTTGATGTCTGGGACGAGGATCAGGCTCTCAACGGTAGTCGTAAGCTCTTTAACTGACCTGAACTTTCGTTGGTCTAGTTTGTTAATGGCATCAGTGGCCTTTTGTGCCTCCTGTGGATTATGCCATCGAGCTTCTACCATCTCCATGAACTAGTCTAACGTCAGAGACTTAGCCCAGTCCGCCATGCGTCTCCCATACCAGTCCTTTATAACTACACTATCTAACCACTTGGCTGCCTTACCCTCCAGGTAAGATGCCGCAGTTACCACTTCGTCCTCTAGCAAGGTTCTCTTGGCCTTCACCCAAACAGGGACTGTTCTCAACCAAGTGTTGAGTTCTTTGTCCTTTCTTTCCCCTGAGAAGGGAAGAGGCGGTTTCATCGGGGTCTTAGGGTACCAATGCCCTTGCTGCTGTCCCTGTGGAGGAACAGATTGTTGCGGTGGTGTAGCAACCACCGCTGGACCCGAAGAAGAAGACGCAATAGTCTGTGAGACTGCTGCAGACGTACCACTTGGCTGTGTGCCAACTTGTACAGGAAAGGGGCCTGACATCGCCGTTAACGGCAACGACGATTGTGCTGGTGGCCGGAATCCTGGCCTTGTCAATGCATCCAGGATCTGGTCCAAAGTGCTCTGCATGAAGTCCAACCTACTGTCAACGTGTGCATGCAGTGACAACATGTTGTTCTTCAACACTTTCAGGGGGTCAGACAAACCCGTTTCGTCCAATCCCTCTAACGCAGCCTTGTCAGCCTCTAACGTATCAAGTCTGGCCGCTCTACTTTTTATCTCTCTTTCTCTATCGGTTGCTTTCTTCAGATCCTCCTCTAACTGTTGGCGGAGCCTCTCGACCTGTTGGATCTCTCTGAGCTCTGTCTCACGTAGGGTCAACGAGCTGAACTGCAAGCCCGCCATTTGACTAGAAGACTGTCTAGAACCTGTTGAACCGGAAGTGCCCGCGGAACTTGTGGAACTCGTTGGCATTCCCAACTGGCTCCCACTAGTCCCTGACGAGGACGCAGACGATGACGCAACAGAGCTGGTACCGTTAGCCATCGTTGCTGCTCTGGCTGCTGTTGCCCGCTCTCTTGCTACTCAGTTTGCTTCCTGTAGTCCTGCTGCTAGAGCACGGGCTCTACGTTCGACTATAAGCCGTCTTTCTTCTCCCGGTTGTAGGGCCTGGAACACGTGCGGTACCCTTAGTGTCTCTGCACGTGTTAGCCTCCTATTGTCATCTCTATCATCAATAGGATCTGACCCACTCATTAGTTAGGCAGATAGTTTCTGCACTAGAATCCCCTAGTGGAATCCTACCACAGCATGTATCTGACCGAGGATCTGACCCACTCATTAGTTAGGTAGATAGTTTCTGCACTAGAATCCCCTAGTGGAATCCTACCACAGCATGTATCTGACCGGCACCTAATTTTCTAACAATAGTTGTGTCCGGCGAGTACCCCTACTATACCGAATCAAGTGGCATGTCTACAACATTCACACAGATTGTCTACATAGTCTAGATGCACCCTGATTGGTTCACTGACAGTAGCATTAGTTAGAACTGGATATGGTAGCATACATCAGTCCTACACTAATCTGTCTGTGAGGTTAGCAGTCCGTCAACCAACTAATCAAAGGTACAAAAAGACAATGTAGCAGATGTATGATTGATGGGTATGGTTGTGTAAACAGTTGAGCACCAATTGGAACCTACCCTTCCCCTCAATCCAACATACCGAATAGCATCATTGAGCGAGCAGTGTCTTCGTGTGTGAATCGGCCCACCCCTGTGCCCAAGTTGTCACCGAGCAAGCCAGCCCAACCACTCTTATTT